ATTAAGCGCATTAAGTTAATAAGAGCACAAAATCTGTGCATACTTTTTGCACATTTATACTACCCACTGAGTGGCCTATTATATGGTGTTTGAATAGAGTTACATACATATACATATACATATTATGAATGTATTATGTATCTTCTTTATAAATTTTGCCCCCTCAGATGAAAAATACTTCCGCGGCGCCTGGATATGCACTTTAAGTGAATATATTGTAGATATAAACAAGTACCTACATATAAATTTTAATTCTTAATAGATAAATGTAAATATCTTGTAAATATATTTTTTAAATAAAAAAAATAATGATTATAGTTTAATGAAACATTATCAGAAAAGAATCATAAAGAGCATCCCTATTAAGCTCAGTAGTTAAAGCAATTCTAAGTCCAGACTGCACCGGAAAAGTAGAGCAGGGCATCGACTCACGCTCGAGTCAGGCGCATCTCTAGGAATACCAATGCTATCCTGAATTTTTGATATGCGTAGTACTAATGATTAACGTCGATATTTAGTAATTATTCAATAATTTTTCACAAAGATGTGGCATTTGTAATCAGACATATATAGCATAGAGATACAAGTCAATTTTAATTAATTCTGAAATATTGAGATATTTATTACAACTCAGGAAAAAGAATTCGTAATAATACTATATATTCAATAGTTTCTTATTTTAATTAATTATGTAATTATAGATAAAATAAAAACAAATAAACTTTCAATATTTATACATAAATAAAATTGTGCTTGCAAATTTTATTTAACTTTTATTAACAAAAATTGATATATACCACTTTGCCGACACTAATCGTTCAATTGTTTATATTATATTGATAATTTCTATCAATTTTTAACGTAACTTTGTTGGCATTGATAAAACAAATCTCAAAATATGTAATGCCAATATGTAAATGCCTTTCTCAAAATCACAGTTCAATGAAATGAAAAAAATGTGCTTATTTCTCAACAATTATGTCTATCAAATAAGCGTGGCGTATTTGTTATACATAGCGCTCTCAACTGTATCGAGATGAGAGTGATAACAAGAAAAGTGAAAACGAGCACGTACCTGCCGAAACGACGATGATGTCGGCGCTGTGAAACAGCTGATCGTCTTGCTCAGTGGGTGTCGCCCTCGCCTAACCTCTTCTCCAGCACCCTGTTACGGCTGCACTTTCTCACGCACTCGATTCACTCGCGAAAACCGACCGATGAAAGCTTTCTGATGTTATATGATACGAATTCCGACGCGCACACGATTGGCTTTTGGTTGGCTATATCGTGATCGCGGTGTTTGCGTTGTCTTTAAAATTTCGATTCAGAATTCTTAAAAGTTAGCTTTTCGAAACGCGCGATTCACAATACAAGAGTAGCAACACGGAATTCGTGATGTAATTCGTGCTTCCAAATTGTTTAATGATGAACATTTCGCAACATAACCTTTATTCCAGGTTTTCTTAATGGCATCCGTAGACAATTTCTGACTGCAAGTTGTAATGACGAAACAAATATTTGCGCGGCGTCGGACGTAATATTGCAATCAGCACCATTGATTTAACGCAAATGTATGCGCGGCGTTACGTCGTAATAATTGTATAGAATATTGTTTTAACGACTAACTGTCAGTGATGTATATATATTTCATACGGCAAGTCCATTTCAACAATGACACAAGCAATCGCGCGGCGTCGCGACAAAGCCGCGCGTCGTTGTCGAGTTGATTCGCGAGCGCTACTCACGCGGCATACTTCACGGCAGGTGTCGAGCGATCCTGGGGATCGTATGCGGGAATCCTCGGCGCAGGATGACGGCCGCGCGACTTCGGCGTAATCGAACTCATATTCCCGGTGTTGCTGTTTTGCAGTGGTGGTAGCGTTGAGTCAAACTGCGGCGTCACTCGGCTATGATGCACTCGCGAATGGGACCCGCAGCCCCGTCGATTAATCACACAGCGAAGTAAGCTGGCCCGCTCTATTTACCGCTCGCGCGACGGACGGGGAGCAAATGCATAGGCGGGGGCGGCCGCCCGAAGCGCTCGACGAGCCGGACCGAGCGGGCACGAAGGCGGACGGACGGGTGGTTGGTGTATACCTTACTACGCATTCGATGTGTTCACACGCGCGGTAAAGAGAATACTGAAGGTGGGGACTCCGTGCGGCATGATGAACTATATACAACGTGCGCCTGCGCGTACCGCAGCGTACCGTTCGTCTCATGCTACACTTCTTACGACTCCAAAAGCACTTTTCTGTTGGTATAAACTTTTTTCATGTATTTATACATTGCATATGCAGTAAATAATAATATATCTTCTATGAATACTCGGTATATAGTTCAATATACTTATTTGAGAGAATATTCTTATGAAATTATCATGCCTCTTAATCGTCGTAATAGTAAAAATTATAAAATATGTAAATGCCAATATATTATCTAGCAATGTTCAACGCTTTTATATAAAATATATTGTAGAAAATTGTTATACCGTATTTCAAATAGGATTTAACGCTACATAACATAACCATTTTTCTCTAAGAAAATTAATTTAATTCTATTATGAAAATTGAAAGGTTAAATTATAATTTTTCAGTTCTTTTTTCGTTTCGTTTTCGAGTTATTAATGTTTTGTCAATATCAAAATCTACGCATAATAACTTGTATTTTCTTACCTTTATTCCGAAAGCACCTTTTTGTTAATATGAATTTTTTTCATGTATTTATTCATTGCATTGCTTTTTCGAGAAGCATTCGTCGGATCATGTTGATTGCGTTTCAATATTATCTAGCACTGCCAGTACTGACAATCTATAATTCATATAACGTATACTACAGGTTTTCAGCACTGCCAGTGCATTTTCGAGCACACCCGTTGATGTATCATTTGTTATTTACTTACACACTTGTGGAAATTTTTTCGAAGTTGGCAAATGTCTTGATTTACATGGCCATTTTACGTAAGTATCCTTTCATTCTTTCTATAAAAGTTTCGATTTTACGTCTATTATATAACTTTCTAAAATACAACGCAACTAATTTTATGAATATATTCTATAGTCCATTGTTTCGATAATTTAGGTTTCTTATCAGAGGAAGAGTTGTCAAAACTGTTAAAAAAACTGCGGTTAGGAAGACATTCTGTGACTTCGGGATATGTGGATCTATATGCGAAATAAAAGGTGATGAATATTTCAGTAAAAATCGAAGAAAACTATCAAAAAGCTTGATTATCGGATTATCGGACATTTATATTTTTAATGACTAGAACAATACAGGCGCGCGCTACGCGCGCGCACTTATTATAGTAATTTAATAATTAAGAAATCTAAATATTTTAATAAATTTTTTTATTTTTAATAACCGTCAAAATAACCTTTGCTCTCAAAGTATCAAACTGTCAGAATAATCGCGATAACCAATCAGTGTCGCGGAAAACCGTCAACAAAACTTTCGATACATTCGAGTATCAATCTTTCATGCCTTTTTTAATAATGGAATTTCGCGATTTTACTTGTTTATTCAAACATTTGTAACACTTTTTCTTTTGAATGAGTTTTGGAATGCATCAAAATCATGCAGACAATTTTTGATGCATTTTGAAATTCATTAAATAAATAAGTGTTGCAATCTTGTGGAAAACGATTATATACAAAGTTGGTACTAATGATACTAATAGACGCTTTACTCATTTCAGACGTGGTGGACACGAAGCATCTCATTCCGCCGCGGATTTCGGTAAGATATTCGTATTTTTGACTTTTTTAGCGCATTGTACGATATTTGGCAATTATAGAAAGACATAAACAGTTCAAATAATTCAGCTCTGTATGAATTTTTATAAATATAAAAAACTGTGAGTAGAAAGAAATTGTGTGGCTTCGGGATATGCGGAAATGTATGCGAAACAAAAGATGATGAATATTTCAGTAAAAATCGAAGAAAACAATCAAAAAGCTTAATTATCAAATATTTCACGTGTATACATTTAATGAATTTCGCGATTTCACTTGTTTATTCGAACATTTGCAACACTTTTTCTTTTGTATGAGTTTTGGAACCCATCAAAATTATGCGGACAATTTTTGATGCATTTCGAAACTTATTAAACAAACAAGTGTTGCAATCTTGTGGACAACGGTTATACATAAAGTTGGTACTGATGATACTAATAGACGCTTTACTCATTTCAGACACGATGGACACGAAGCATCTCATTCCGCCGCGGATTTCAGTAAGATATTCGGTAAGATATTTTTGACTTTTTTAGCGCATTGTATGATATTCGGCAATTATAGAAAGATATAAACAGTTCAAATAATTCAGCTCTGTATAAATTTTTATGAATACAAAAAATTGTGAGTAGAAAGACATTCTGTGATTTCGGGATATGCGGAAATGTATGCGAAACAAAAGATGATGAATATTCCAGTAAAAAATCGAAGAAAACAATCAAAAAGCTTAATTATCAAACATTTCACGTTTATATTTTTAATGAATTTTGCGATTTCACTTGTTCATTCGAACATTTGCAATACTTTTTCTTTGAAATGAGTTTTGGAACGCATCAAAATCATGCAGATAATTTTTGATATATTTCGAAACTCATTAAACAAGTTAATGTTGCAATCTTTTGGACAACGATTATATATAAAGTTGGCATCGATGATATTAATAGACGCTTTACTCATTTCAGATACGATAAACATGAAGCATCTTATTCCGTCGTGGATTTTGGTAAGCTATTCGTATTTTTGAGTTTTTTAGCGCATGTACAAAATTGTTGTAACTTGTTTGACGATAATATTATATTTGCAGTTGGCACCGATGATACAGATACATTCATCACATTCATTTTAATTCTTGTGGATGCAACAAACGCAAAGCACTTCATTTCGTTAGATTTTGGTAAGATATTCATATTTTTTATTTGTTTAGCATATTGTACGATATTCTGTAATGATACATGATAGAACGACATAAACAACTCAAATAATTTGACTCTGTATGAATTTTTATGAATGCAAAATTGAGAATTTAAGAATATTTAATTAGCCAATTAATAACGCAATATATAACTCAAAGTCGTGAATATTTTCCTTCATTATTCTTTCTTTATTAAAAATTTTGAATGAGATATTTGTAATTTCGAAAGCCGATTGTTACATTTTCTGAGATAAGTTATAGAAGATATATGAAAAAGATTAAAAAATCGGCATAAAAATACATTGAAATGATTAAAGTTCCCTGTTAATTATTAAAGCTCAGTATTAAATTTCGGTGACATTTTAATTAAGAATCGCAGATTCAAATGCTTACATACTTCCGAATACTCACTACGCAAACAAATGTTGCAACTCTTGACCTTTTTAACGCATTGTGCGATATCTTGCAGAATTAAAAATATGTAAACAGTTTAAATAATTCGTTCCTGTATGAAATTTAAGAAAAATTTGGGAATATCAATCGACAATCATCAATTTGATCGACATAATCCAATTCTTAAAAATTTCTATAATTTTTTCATTATTCTTTTTTTAAGAAATTATAAATAAAAAATTTATGACTCTCAAAGATAATTGATACATATTTTCTGAAATAAGTTATAGAAGTTATGTAAGAAAAAAGGTTAGAGAAAAAGTAAAAGAGCAATTTTTTTTCCTGTATGCAAAATTCGTTTAAAAAGTTTAAAAGTATCGCAAAATAATGTCGAATTATTAAAATTCATGAAAATGAGATGCTTTAATAATGAGGCTGCGAAGTACCGTGTTTATCTTTAATTCGGCGAGTTTACGAACTTTGCTTAGAATTTTCAGAATATTTTAATTATATTGAAAGTGTAATATTAAATTTTTAGTAAAAAAGGTTAAAATTTCTTAAAATTTTCTTTGCTCGCGATATTTTGACATAATAAAAAGTTTATAAACATTTTTTATGTCCGTGTATTATCCGAAAATACAGTATTGAAATCTTTTTTGCAGTTGTAAATTTTGTGGATATCGAAAATGAACTATGCAAAGTACAGTGTCGAAATAGGTTTGAATTCGCGTTTGTGATATTGGAAAGTGCAGTGCCGAAATATTTTTATATTCGCAATCGTAAAGTGCTGTGATATCAGAAATTTAGTGCTAAGTATCTCTTTGTCTTATATATACTGAATTTTGTGAATATGTAAAAATCTGTGAGTGTTAAGTAATAAGTGCAATATCGAAAAATTTCGCGAGTGATAAGTGCATCGTTGGATCAATGAGTCAGCACTTGGAGGATCGCTTGGATCACTAATCCTGACTAGTCCCCGATTAATGGAGCTAATTGATTTCCAGGGATGAACATCGGCAGCGGTCGGTGAGTCTCGCATGAAAATGATTTATTATTTTCCAATTAATTAATGCTTTTTGTACTTGTTGCGCAACGAGCGCTACTTCAGTTGCACGCAATGCATGGAATTTGCATTCAGTTTTTAGTACCTATATTTGTTATTATACTTATATGATTACTTTATACTCATATATGATCATTTACCGCCCGGATAAATAAATGATCGAATATGGTTTTAAATATAAATAACAAATATTATTAAAATATAATATTTGACTAAATACTGAATTAAATATTCAGAATAGTTTGGTAATAGTACTTAACAAAAGTTTAAAATAAAAATCACAAAATCAATTTGTGCATTCGAGTGTCCACGTGGTTATAAACATGTAAAGAGAATTATATATATATATATACATACATACATATATGTTGTATATACATGTGACATTCTCTTTACATATTCATAACTGTGGACATTACTAATTATAACACGTTGTTATACTAAAACAAACATTTATCTTGCATGAAATTGAGCAAGAAACTTGAGAGTGAATATCATTTTAGAATTTTTCGATCATACATTTAACTTTCCATTTAAATTTAAATCCTGTACGTTTGTGCTTGTAAAAGTCACTATTTATAATTGCACGTTCCTAACAACTGGCTATTTAGTTTTACTATTTAAAAAACAATCAGATATTATTTTGATTCTTTTACCACAAGAAATTTTTTCTCTGCATTTTAAGATGCATTTTAAAGATGTATGTATCTATATACTATTTTTGATTATTTTAAAAATGTTTATGCACTTGTGTTTGATTAGTCCTGTCTCTTTTCAAAGAATCTTTTTCATATAGTAAAAATATATATTTTTTGGACTTATCAAAAAGATTCAATTATTACAAAAAAATTGAAAATGTTCGCAAATTAATTGCTAACATTTTAATATTTTTATAATCTAAAAAATATATTGTAATCTAAAAGTAGCAATTGCTATACGATTTAAATTATTAACTATCAAAATTAAATTTTTATTTGTGCTATAATTATTTTTCGCTGGTTCAAAGAAATAATATACATCGTGAATTTCGTACGCAATAGAATATTATATTAAAATATAAATGCTGAGAATCTACAACAGATACATGTTCGTTTTATGTATATATAAATATCTTACATGTGTAACTTTCACCGACTGTACACAGCAGTTGCTCAAAAAGTTTTAATAGCTGACAGCAAATACTTAGAAAAGATCTTTTTAAACGACGCACCTCGCGTTTTTTAACATTGAGTTTTGTAGTAGAAATGTGAATGTTTCGAAACAAGATCTAATGATGTAAATTTTTATATATTGTGGATCAAAATTATCCTGCGTATATTGTATAATTTTTCTTAGTATTATAAATTATTTACTAATAATAAATCGTGGATATATATGTGCCGAATTTAGAAGTGCGAGAGGCACGGGAAAACTTTAAATATTATCTACGGTTCCATGTCGGGATACGCGATTGATCTTTTTAGGTAAATTTGCATTTGCTCACTACTGCTCGTCTTTGTCTTTCGCACCGTGCTTCAGGATTCGAGTGAATTCCAAGTAGTCAAACATAGAACCTTTGATTGGTGCCTCGCGATACATTTCATCTACATCGTCATCCGTGAATCTAACGATAAAAAAGAATTGTCTTTGTATTGTCAATTAACAGTCCTAGTTTAAATAATACATATTTTAATTTAAACAAAATTATAAATTGCATAGATCACATAACTTATACTGACTAATCATTATCGTTTACAATTATGCTCTTCAATTGTATAATTATTATATTGGCCAATTATTATTAATCATTATTTCCTCTTTTTCTTTTTTTACAAAGCGTTTACTTTTAAAGAAGTTAAAATTAATTTCTAATTTTTTTTCTATTTATATATATTAATATTAAAGCATTCGTAAAGTTAACACAAACATAAAAGTAAAATTTTATAATAGTTTTATAATCTTTAAATGATTTTGACATGAAATTACCTATCACCCATTGTCGTGAGTAACTCGCGGAGACGTTCCTCATTTATATGACCGGTATTTTCTTCATCGAAACAACCAAAAGCATTTTTAATCACATCCTCAGGGTCAGTCCCTTGCAGTCTCTCTCCGAACAATGTTAGAAACATTGTAAAGTTTATAGGTCCAGGTGCTTCGTTCATCATTGCTTCTAAGTATTCATCGGTAGGGTTTTTACCTGTGAAAGATAATTAATTCCTACGTTCCATTTGCATTTTATTTTGGTCTAAACTACAGTTTAGAAGCAATGATATTTATATAAAGAGATTGTGCAGAAAGATCTCTTTGAACTTCCCTCGAATATTTTCCTAAAAAGCTGTTATATATTTAAAGCGCTTACCCAAGGAAGCAAGCATATCATGCAAATCTTCCTTATCAATAAATCCGTCATGATTTTGGTCAATCATATTAAAAGCCTCTTTGAATTCCGCGATTTGCGCCTGGTCAAACATCGCAAAAACATTTGACGTCGCGCGCTGAGCGCGTTTCTTCGTGGTAGCGCGACGACCGGCAGTTTTGCGAGAAGACATCTTTAATTATTTGCACCTACTAAAGCAAAAATTAACCCTTATATATTTTCAATATCTTTAGGTAACTAATTTTTAAAGTGCTTCAAAATTTTGAAAAAAGTTATTACTCTTACTCAAGATATCTAAAAAAATTGTTAGATGTTTAAAAAGTTAAAAAACAGATTCAATATTTTTCTTTGGCAATTTAAATCATTTCATAATTGAAGAAGTTTGAAAAGGAATAAAAATAATCCTTATATATACATATTTGCTACATAAAGAACTAAATTTTAGCTATTATTCTGAATTTAACATATGTTGCAAATTAGAAAAGCCTTTTTCTCAGCTGATTATACTTATAAAAGTATACATTTCTGTATATTTAAATTATAAATATTTATTAATGAAATACTGATCATATATAATTGATCAAAATATATATTAAATTAAACTTGATGTATCAAGTAAAATAAAATTTTGTGAAATTTTTTTGATGAACTTAAAATCGTATTTTTTTCTCGGTAAAATTCGAAATGTTTATTGATAAGTCCGGGATATTTTGAGATTAAATCGATAAATTTCAATCTGAATGTATCATCGTTACAGAAAAAACAATGGCACGAGACCTATTCACAAACCATATATTTCGTAGGAATTGTTTGCTCAAAAAATAAACTGCAAATTTTGCTCCCATAAATTTGCCGCGAAAGTTTAGAGAAACAAAGATGCATTCTTTTTAAATTAAAACAGACATTGCGATTAAACAGTTGCCAAGTCGCCATCGCCATTGGTGTTTATTTTCGTATAATCAATTCACGATATTCCGACGTGACCGAAATTGGGGTAAAAATAATACTTGGACGAAGACGCGACTGAAGGGTCGTTACTCTCTTCGTGCGCTTAAATGGCTTTCTCTTTTATGTATGTTTAACTGTTCCGATAATATAGCTCTTATTAACCACAAACTTTTTATTTTATTTATTCTTTTTTAGTTTGAACTAATCATTAAAAATATATCTGTTTAAAAGATACAACAATATTAGATAAAAAACAATCAATATTATATTATACATAAACTCAACTCTGATTTGTTAAAAATTCTTTCCTCATATTACATACAATATTTTATACATAAAATATATTTATTATATAATTTTTGCAAAATTATGTCATACTAAAAAATTGCTGTCTTTTGTATTTACAACACTATATATATATATATTCTATTTGAAGTAAATTAAATTAAAATTTTCTTTAGAATTATGATTAATTTTGCAGCGATCTTTACGTATATTCACTCGTATTTACTCGTATATTCACTTACTCATCTCTTTCTTAAATTGTCCTACTTTTCCTTTCCTTGACTCATGTGTCTCTTTCGCAGTCAGTGTTGTTCGAATCAGTAATACAGTCATAGTAATTTTGATACATTGCGAACAATAATGAAATAAATTTATTTTAATATTTGCAATAAACTGATTAATAACTGATTAATAACTGGTTAAATAACATCGACCCTTGTTATTTGCACCCATTGTATTGTTTGTATCTACGGTACTGCGCCTTTATCACATTGCTCACTAGCACTTTCTCTTGATCGCATACATCAGTACATAACCTAACATAACCTAGCCAAAAAAATATTCTTTTTGTGGCTTGTCCTATTTCTACAAGGAATAACGATCCT